GTATATATTATATAATATATTCAATATTCAAATCTAATCACATTTCTCTTCTTGTGAAAGCAAGCAAGAATACGCAAATTGCTTTAGAAATTGCAAAATGCTTCTGGCGTGTACATAATTCGATTGTGCAACCGCAGTACAGCATATAGAGATAAATATATATGCTATAAATATACATATATATATATAGAGTAATAAATGTTTATTGGGGTAGCTTGCTTATATGTCTCAAGGCTATGGCGCTGCTCTGCTTTGATATTCTTTTGCCAACTGCGAGTTAATTGAGTTGGAAAAACTGTTTGCCAACGCCCATGGCTATAGAGGGGTTCCACTAATCAATAGTGCAGATAACCGTTAGATCTATACATATACGTATGTACCTGATGCTTGTGTAAGGCAACAGCATGTTAATAATAACACTCTTTAACACAATTTGGGAAAAGTGTAGCACTCATTAAGAAAATCCCTAAAGAAAAGCGTCTTTATTATTTGTTCAAAGAACATCGTGCAAAGGAAGATTACATTTTCACGACATTCTACCATTGAAAATGTGTATAATAGAAATGGGGAAATGCAGAACAGTACAGAATAATTTATATAGAACTTTAAGACTTTCAGTTACCATAAGTTTTATTAAAACTGTCTTGTCTATTGGTATCACAAGGTATTAAGTATGCTTTTAGTTCTCAACACGTAAATAATATAAAAGTTCTCAAACTATATTTTCTTTACTTAATTATTGAATCTTGTTGGCCTGTGTAAACGCATCCAAGTTGCCTTCAACAAGTTTTGTTTGGCGTAAAAGGGGAAAAAATCGTGTCATTAATCTTGCCGTAAGCTAAGTTATTGAAGAGTGGAAACCTCGCCCACCCCCATGGCGCCCCCCGCCCACCACCAACTAGCTTACAATTTATCCTTGCCAACTAATGAGCGTTGAGTTTTTCTTGCGAAAGCGAAGCCCAAGAATTTTGATAAACTTTGCAGCCAAAAAAGTTGAGATTTATGACTGCCTGTATTTAGCTTGAGGTGCATAATTAAAATATAAGCTTACTCCTACTCTTACTCGTACTGTTCCTCTGATTTGATTTGATTTTATTTTATTTTGCTTGCTTTCAAGTCAAGGTAAATGCGCTGGAGTCGCCTAAGATTAATTACCCTGGTGAATATACTAATTAAATTGCTCCCAAAGTGGCTACAGCGGGGGAGATGTCATCATCTGTTCTTCAACAAAGTCGATAAACTTTGCCAAACTTTGAGATGCTTGTATGCAAACTGAAGAAGTGTTTGATGTAATTCGTGTGATAATGATGGCAACTAAATATATGATGAGTGATTATGGAGCAGAACATTGGCTTTATTTCACTATAATTTTATATATTTTTGTATGAAAAGGAAAACATAATTTGAAAATAAAACACAAATAAATAAATTAGAAAAAAAAAATAATAATCAATAAAATATATATTACAGCTGTGAAAACTAAAATAAAAATAAGTAGATAAATTCATTGATAAACAAATATAGCAGTACCTCTAAGACTGCATTCGCAAATTGTGCTATTTTATTTTTCACAGCTGTATATATGTGAAGTGAAAAGCATAATTTGAACAATAAAATACAAATACCAAAAGAAAAAGAAAAATATTTTTAAATATATATTTAAATCGATATGTGTTTATAT